GTATTATACATGAGATCATATTATACATGAGATCATATTACACATGAGATCATATACATGAGATCATATTACACATGAGATCATATACATGAGATCATATTACACATGAGATCTTATACATGAGATCATATTACACATGAGATCGTATTATACATGAGATCATATTATCCATGAGATCATATTACACATGAGATCGTATTATACATGAGATCATATTACACATGAGATCGTATTATACATGAGATCGTATTACACATGAGATCGTATTATACATGAGATCATATTATACATGAGATCATATTATACATGAGATCGTATTACACATGAGATCGTATTACACATGAGATCGTATTATACATGAGATCGTATTATACATGAATAAATACGGTAGTTTAAATTTAAATAACACTATTCCTGATGAGGTGAAAGTTTGTGTTTAGAAATGGTTCCAAAATCACAAAACACGAGAAAGTAGTTTCATTGCAGAAAACTTTGGAGGAAACAATAAACATGACAACAGAAGTGGGACTGCTGACTCAGCATTCAGACCTTATTATAACACACATTTCAAAGTGCAGTGGATGGTAATAAAATCAAACCTGTGCTTGTGTTTCTCCAGGAAAGTGAAGAGGAGCTGGCTGAATCCGAGGAGTACAGAGAGGCCAGAAACGTATTGGACTCAGTGAAGCTTGAAGGATGATTTCTGCCGCTAGTTCTGTTCTCACTTGGAGATTCTCCTGCCCTAAATGTTCATTCCTTTTGTCAAGCCTCGTTTTGGAAACACAGAGGCCAGCTCTCGATGTAATTATTTCTACAGTATCCTGCTAACATGCCAGCACGTTTGTTCACACTCGTTCTGTGTTTAAATCCCACAGAAATACGGATCAATCAGTTTATTACAGTAAACCAACAGTTTTTGTGGGATTGCCGCTCTGTCAGGACTTCAAACGTTGATTTTCAACTTTTTCTGCACTAAAAAAAAAGAAATGGCCTTTTATTGTTGTCTGTGCTTTAATAGGTTATTAGATCTGCATGTTTTTCACTGGTCCTCATTTCTTTTTGTTTGTGAATTAAAATGAGAGATTAAAAAAATGCAAACTGTAATGTTTGTCCTTACTCAAATGATCTTAGTGAATGCATATCGCCCATCACCTTTCATACCAGAGTTGTTTTAAAGATCATAATTTGAGAAATGACAGTTACCTCTGTTCTGGTCAAACTCAAATCTCATGATCTTCAGAGTACATGGCACCCGCTTCAGATGTTATCATCCATGAAATGGACGTTATTAGGTGTTATCAGTCCCATAGAATGGCTCCAGAATGTCCCACCTGTGACAGTTAGCAGGTTCCCCGTCCCATAGAATGGCTTCTGATTGTCAGCTGGTTAATATGAGGTATAAAACCACTATCTGGTTAATATGAGGTATAAAACCACTATCTGGTTAATATGAGGTATAAAACCACTATCTGGTTAATAT